ATGAAAAATAAATATTTTTTAAAAAAGAATCTGGGTTCTGATTTAAGAATTTGAAGGGTTTTTTGAGGGGATACCAGGGATTGAACTTAGGGGCACTCAGTCACTGAACCACATTCCCAGCCCTATTTTATTTTTATATTTTTATTTAAAGACAGGGTCTCACAGAGTTGCTTAGGGCCACACCATTGCTGAGGCTGGCTTTGAACTCGCAATTCTGTCTCAGCCTCCCAAGCTGCTGGGATTATAGGTGTGCACCACCGCACCTGGTCAAGAATTGAGTTTTTGAAGACTTTATTGGGCTGCTTAATCAACAGCCTCTGGATCTACCTCCCTCTGCTCCAATTATATGAAACATAATTTTCTATTATTTAAATATTTTCTCATAGTAATCTTCTCAGCACAGTTTTGTTTTGTTTTGGTCCTAGGGATAGAACTCAAGTGCCCTTTATCACTGAGCTACACCCCTTGTAATTTTTTTTATTTTGAAACAGGGTTTCACTAAGTCACCCAGGCTGGCCTCAAACTTTCAATCCTCCTGTCTCAATCTTCTGAGCCACTGAAATTACAGGTGTGTGCCACCACACCCAGCTAAAACCATAGTTTCTATGTTGAACTTCTTTCTTTCCTTTTTAAGACATTTTTCCCTGCCGTTACAGTATGTTGCTGAGATATTTCATTTATAAAACATAAAACATTGTACTGATCTTGACTTTTAGATTACCACACAATTGATTTCCCCAATAATATCATTTCAAAATACTAGATGCTAAGGGTACCCCGTAGTTATTTGCCAGGTTTCTGTTCTCGAGACTAAAAGGCTCAGGGGTCACTCCAGTTCAGCTGGGCTAACTGGGCTGCACGAAATAACCACACAAGAGACACAAATACCTTTTTCTTTGGGGGTCGCTGTGACGGCTCCTCTGACCTTAAGGGTCCAAAGAAAGAGAGAGAGGGAGAGCACACGCTGACCCCTTTTATTGAGGAGAAGCTATTCAAATGAGGCAAGGGGTCAGGTTTCAAGGGGCTGAGTCTATCTTCATGATGTCCACTGTCAGCAGGTTGACTGACACCTGAGTAGGCCAACCCAAGGGCACAGTAAGAGAAGAGGACACACACAAGGCACTTCCATGGAAGATTCTATCCTAAACAGGGCAAAGGGTTATATTACAAAGGAACAGGTGAGCATAGCTTCACCCATGGGGCTGTAGCAAGACACACCCATGCACAAGACACCGTTCCTTAAACCCAAGAAGGGTGGGGAAAGCTCTGCCACATTTCTGTGACTGAGCGCCTCAGCACCCAGCCAGGGAGTGTGACTCAGTCACGTGCAAGGTTGGTCTCCCATAGTTATTCTTCTCCTACCTTGTTAGGGTGATACTGTTCCACCAGTATTTTTCAACTTTAATAGTGTCCAAATCAGGCAGGGAGAGGAAACACTTGGGGAATGTGGACGTGACAGTTGATTAGTGTAGCAGCTTCGAGCTGCCCCAGTGAACTGTGCATCTTGACTGCTCATCAACATTTGATTGTGGTGTGGTCACATTTCATTAGCTACCTGGGTTGTAGTACAGCCTATTTGAATTAACTGTTGTGGCTACTCAAGCTTGTGAAATAAAAATGGGGATAAAAATGGAAAAAGAATAATGTGGCTCAATTTCTCAAAAATAAAATAGGATCAAGGATCTTTCAGTTCCACCTTAAAAATAAAATCTCAGGTTGTCTGCAATGGGCTTATTCCACTGGCATTGGTATTTAATGCATTGTTGTTACATTTAATCTAAATCCACTTATTCACACAAACAGAAGGGAATGTGTATTACAATCAATGTACTATGCAGGCTATCGTAGGAAAACAAAGTTTATTTCAACCATTATGAATTATACTTTCTAGGAATGCATTTGATCCCAAGCATGGCTCACAGAGGAACATTTATTGAATTGCACTGACCAATGGAAGGTTCTCCTGTGGACCTTCCTATGCTGGATTTTTTTTTAATATATTTTTAGTCATTGATGGATCTTATTTATTTATTTGTATGTGGTGCTGAGAATTGAACCCAAGGCCTCACACATGCCAGGCAAGTGCTCTACCACTGAGCCACATCCCCAGCCCTATGGTGGATGTTTTGATCTGGAATGTCTGCCAAAGCCTCATGTGTTGAAGGCTTGCTGCCCAATACAGCAGTGTTCAGAGGTGGGACTTCTGGGGAGTGATTGGATCATGGGGGCTCTGACATCATCAGTGGATAAATCCATTGACAGCTGAGTGGACTACTGGAAGGTCCTAGAGACTGGGAGGTAGGACCTAGTTGGAGGAAGTAGGTCACTGAGGGCATGTCCTTGAAGGGTTTTATCTTGTCTCTGACCCCCTCCTTCTCTCTCTCACTCTCTCTCTCTCCCTCTTTCAGCTTCCTGGCTGCCATGAGGTGAGCAGCTTTGCTCTCCCCACACCCTGCCACCATGTTGTCCTGCCTCCCATAGCCCAAAAAACGTCAGAGGCAGCACGCCATGGACTAAAACCTCTGAAACTGTGAGCCAAAGTAAATCTTTCCTCCTTTAAGCTGTTTTTCTCAGGTATTGTATCACAGTATGCTGACTAACAGAGGATTATGGAGCCTCTTCACTGCAGCAGGCAGGATGTGGCTGGCTCTCCCCTGCCAAGAAGGGAACTGCTTCCATGCAGTCTGGGCAACAGGAGCTCACAGAGGACCACCAAACTTCCCCTCATAGAAGCACTCCACATGTTGTTCAACCCAGCTGAAGCTAGAAAGTCACAGATACCTCCTCATAAATGTATGAAGCTAGACTCAGGCCTTTCTTGATTATATCTTGAGTTCCTGAGAACCAGTCTGCTATGGATAAGAACTGTCTGTCATATTATGCCATATGAATATGAGCTGAGTGACCTTGGCTAAGCTTTCCTTTCAGAACCAAATCAACCAATCTACAGAGAAATTTACTAATGCTCTAGCTGAGGAACCCTCCTCACATGAGCACCTACTCTGTGTGGAGAACTGGGCATCCCAAATCTCTGCCAGAGCTTAAAGTCCAGATGGACAGTCCACCCACCTGCTGCTATGTGCCATGGTAACAGTGTGCTAATGGAGGGCGGAAGGCTTTAGTGTTGGCTCCTATCCAGGGATTAGGGGAGATTTCCTAGGAAAATTGGCACTTGAGTTGAGACTTGGAGATTAAGGAGGAATTTTCCAGAGCTCTGAGGGTCATTCTGGGTGATGATGTAACAGTACACCAGGGCTCAATTGAATGACTTATCAGTATGGATTTGGAGAATTATCTGTTGTTCACTGCTGCTGGGATATTAAGAACAACGAAGTTGGGGAAAAGTAATTCAGCATGAAGCTGGAGAGAGGAGCTGGAGTATGAAGGAAGGACTTTGTTTACTATCCCAATAAGTTTTGTTGTCGTTATTATTATTTTGGTACCAGAGATTGAACCCAGAAACACTTAACCACTGAGCCACATTCCCAGCCTATATATATATATATATATTTTTTTTTTTTCCTTTAGAAACAGGGTCTTGCTGAGTTGCTAAGTGCCTCACTAAATTGCTCAGGCTAGCTTTGAACTTGTGGTCCTCCTGCCTCAGCCTTGGACTTCATTCCACAGTGTGTCTCCAAGTGGAATCCACAAGTCCCTATGAAAACTCCACTTCTATTTTAGTAGTCATTACCGTTACTACTACTACTGACAATGATAATGGGAGGAGGAGTTAAAACACACTCCAGATCCTTTGCCATTTAATTCTGGTGACTGTATTGTTTATTATTAATCTGGCAACAGTTGGAGGTCAGAGGAGGTGCAGTTTGAACAAAGAGATCACACTGGCTAAACACAGCTGGTCACCACATGTGGGCGACAGTAGGTTTGCCAGACTCAGCCCATGTGGTCCTTCTCTGAAAGGCGATCACATGGTCAAAGACAATAGAGATTCACAAACAGTGTCATTTGTCTCATTAATGTCATGTCACTGGCTTTGTAGTTTTTTCATAATATACTTCTTTTCTTTGGGTTTTATAGTTCTGTAGGTATGTGACAAGAAGCGAGCCTATCTGAGAAACACGGAGATTGTAGTAAACACTGCAATATGTCAGGGTTTTCTTTTTCAGGTGTTTGGACCCATTACTCACTCCTGAAATAGGCCACTGACAAGTGGGAACCACTGAAGGAATCTGAGCAGAGATCAGTGTGAAGCAATCCCTGAGTGAGGAGACCACCTTGGCAGTGACACAGAAGGCTGTCCAAATGCACAGAGGAGATGGAAAAACATCTAGGGAGGTGGCTGCCTGCACCCTCGTATTTAGAGAGCCTTTGCTTACTTCCACAGAGGAGGCCTGGGGACTTTAGAATCAAACACTGACCTGATAAGCAGAATACACTGGCATTTCAAGGTGTGTCTTATCTAGCTCAAAGGTTCCCCAAACTTCCACCTGTGTCATTTCCCAGAGAGTTTTGTGATGAGGCCAGAACTGAGATAGGACCAAATCCCATGTTTTAGTGCAGAGAACTAACAAAGTGCAGGAGATTTGCTACGTACGTGGCAACAGAAAACAACCAGGGCCACTCTTAGAGCTCCGTAGACTAGTTGACACTGAAATGAGGCTTGTTGTCAAGCCATGGGTCACTTGTATGAGCTGCACCCATCCAGGGAAGGTGACCTTTTCTTAGACAAAGATTGGATGGACTTTCCCAGCCATGACCCTGGAGAGGTCTGCATCTCCTGGAGGGGGCACTTTCTTCTAACTGCATGAAGGTCCCTTATGATCTAGTTGTGACTTAATCTTGCTTCTGAGATCAAGCCTTATCAGCATCACTCACCAAAAATAGAACTCTTACCAGAAATACTAGAACTTACTACAACTCTTTATGAAGATACAGGAATTCCTTCTTCCTGAAAAATTTGGAGAACATATAACTCACCCATAAAAATCCACAGTATCCAGGCACTCAACAACATAAAGAACTAGATACACCTTGCTTACCTCAGGGGCCATCCAGAACGGGGTGCCAACTGATGTGTTTCTCCTTAATCGTGTGCTGGTAAGTTGAGCTGAGACACCTAAAAGAAACAGGTATCAGAATTTGGCAGTGAGTAGATGATGATTCCAGATTAGGCATTGACAATTGCTTTTTGAAGGACCAGACAGTAAATATTTTAGGCTCAATGGGCCATCTGACCTCTATCACTACTATTCAGCTCTGCTGTTGGAAGGCTAAAGAGCCACACAAAACACGTAGCTGGGTGAGTTTGGCTTCACTCCAATAAAATTTTATTTATGGATGCTGAAATCTGAATTTCAGAAATTTTTATATCTCAATATATTCTTTTGGTTTTTTCCAATTAGTTAAAAATATAAAAAGTCATTCTTAGCTCATGGGCCATACAAAAAATAGGAGGTAGGTCATATTTGACCATGAACTATAGTTTGCTAAGCCTTTAGAGCATTTATCATTCTATCATTAGGTAGAATCATCAGACGTTTTTCTAATGAATATTCCTACCATATCATTGCAAATTTGGAATCAAAAGAAAAATATCAATATCTAGAATCAACCCAAAATATCTTCCTATTATATTTCCCAGTTCAGGTGATTTCTTTCTTAATAAGGTGCTTCATTTTATGGAAGAAGAAGATTGGCATATATTATCTATAATAAAGCATCAGTGTAGACATAAAAAGATTTCAGAGCTTTATCTTGCCTAGAAGCCTGGAAACTTGGCAAGAAAGTTATGTTTTTCAAATGGAAAGAGAAATTGACAGTAACGTTATTATCTGAAGCTCAATGCTGAGGACCTGAATTTTAATATAATTCCAATGTCCTCTAACTCTCTTCTCTACACCATGGTAAATAAGGTAGAAATTAAAGCTACACTGAGTTAGGAGTTGGGAGACCCATTTTCTATCCCAATTATGCCCTTTACTGAGGTGTGACTGCCTCAGCTTGAGTCTCAGTTGTCTCAACCTTAAACAGATAATGACAACAAACAGCCACACCTAACGTAGAAGGTTCTTCTTAAGACCAAATAAGAGGACCAGCTTGTTCACAATGGTCAGGTATTATTTTATACCAGCAGACGTCTAACACAGCCCTAAACAGAATGACAAGGGATGCCACTGACAGAATGTGGACTGTATTCATTAGTGAAGGATACAGCCCTGAGGGGGAGGCCTAGATTTTCCAAGGATCCGTGGGTGTTTGTTTTTATAGCTGCTTGCTATATCCAAAAGATGGGGTCTTGCTTTATTGCCCAGGTTGGTCTTGGAAATCCTGGGCTCACCTTTTCCTCTGGCCTCAGCCTCTAAGAAGCTGGGCCTCCAGGCATGCACCAGTGCTCCCAGCAAGAAGGCTCTTTAAACTCTATTTGCGACAGATAATTTCCCACTTTACTAAGACTGCCACAACAATTTTGGTAGTAACCACTATGGCTTTCTGGTTTCAATTTCTAGAAATTTGTTTTGCCACAATTGGACATTAAAAACCTTCTACTGGAGAAACTGAGAAGAGTTACCCTTGGGCAAATCGCAAAGTTCTGTGAGTGGATAAATCAGTATTCATCCTTAACTGCCTCCTTGCAGGCTACTTGCCTCCCAACATATGCACTGCCCTCTGGACAACGTGGAAAATATATCTCTGCTACACACACAGCACAATGTTGAAGCTCGATTCCTCCTATTCAGAGAGGAGCATAAGAACAAAGTATTCCCTTGCTATTTTTCTTTGCTTATTTGTTTTGTAAACAGATGAATACACCTGGAAGAACTTCATTTGCTTTTAAGTAATTTCTTCTGAAAAGCAAATGATTCACTGACATATTTTTATGCCAAATTCTTTCTTACCAATAAAATGATGAATACTCAAAATTGTTAGTCTTGTTTTTATTATGATGATATTGATAACATTTTGAAATATTATCTAAATGTTTTTTCATCATTTGTAGCAATGACCCTAAGGAACTAACTAGTATTGAACTCATTTATAAGAATAAACCAGCCCATAAACCTAAAATGGAAAACCAAATGGTTTGTTGGTTTGCCAATATCAACGTCTAAATGTTGTGAAAAGATATTTCAGTTCTCTGGCCTCAGGTGACATTGTCTGCATTTCCTCCCATCCTTCCATTTCCCCTTAATGTTTTCAGTCCTACCATCCTCATGTGTCGCAGCAATAATCACAATTTAAAGAGATGTTAGCTCTGAGGCCCAAAGGACTATCCTACCTTCTGCTCACAGGGAATAAGTATGCCTAAGGCTAGTGAAAGTCCTTTGAAAAACCAAACTGCTTTCTCTTTTCATATGCAAAAGAAGAGATGACAAAAATGCAAATTATAAACAATTGCCCTGAGATGTGAAATTCTTAGCAGAAAACCAAAAACTATCCCAGCAAGTTCTTTTTATTTATTTTTTTTTGCAACACTTTTATTTTCTATCTTTAATAAAATTGCTAGTAAAGCTGAAAATCGATTAACAAACAGCATCTCCTAGGGTGATCCATCTGGTCAGCCCCCTACTCCACAGCCTGCGTTTGACTGGAGAAGTCCTTCAGCCTGTGGTGTAGCAGAGAGGCTGCAGTAAATTGTCCCCTTTGGCTAAACTGCACACATCAAGAAAACAAATGACACACAGTCATTACCAAAGTCAACAAGCTTGACTCCTCCTTCTGCCGTCAGAAGAATGTTGTTCCCCTTCACATCCCGGTGGATGATTTGGTTGTTGTGCAAATGCTGAAGGCCCTGCATGGCCACCAGGAGAGAGGAAGGGGAGATTTACACGCTTATTTTAAAGCAATTACCCCACTATTACAAAGTCTAATCAAAGTCCACATTTGACTCCACTTTCTTTTTGTCAATATCCCTTGCATATTAAATGGCACTTTCCCTGTCATTAAGATACAATGAGGCCCCACGTGATGGACCACTTGTCCCACCAGCTGCCATCCCCAGCTCAAAGAACATTCTTACCAAGAGAGCCCCATACAAGATGTAGGAGATCATGGCTTCATCCAGTCTCTGGCCGCACCTGAGAAGGCCTTTGACCAGCTCAGTGACAGAGCCCCCGTTACAAAGCTGTGGTGAGAGGTGCCAGGCAGAAAGGAGGAGTAGAAAAAAAGAAAGAAAGAAAGAAATGTCAATTAGGAAGGAATCCCACTGGTTACTCACTCAACATAGTAAAATTGCCGATCACAAACTCCATCCTGGAGTAATTAGACTTCAAATTTTCAATAGCCAGTCAAATCTAGCTCTGTGTGCACTTGTGTTCTTTATTCAAGGTAAGGATTTATGAGCCAAAGTGTTCACCCAAAAAAGCTGACTTTTTAATTGTCAAGTAAAACATGAAAGCACAAATTATTATTTAGAATTTTTGCAGGCAAAGCTTATTAAGAAATCATGGTGGCTTACTGGATATTTTTCATCTGATGTGCATATTATTCTTTTTTCTTTTTTTTTTCAAATGTGCATTTTGAGGATAAGAAAGGACTGGAAGAGGCAAGATAGATACCCTTGATAACCAACAGGAAATAAATTTCAGTGATTTTCAGTGATGCACTGCAGACATCAGAAACCTGATCAGTAGCTCTTTCTAGATGTGCCAATCAATTCGTGTCAGGTTTATGGGGGTAGAGTTATGTCATAGGTGCACTTGGCCTTCTCGTATTCAACTTTAGCTTTTCCAGCAACTTTAAGCATCTCTCTGTCCCTATAATTTAAAACACTGTAAGATTTTACTTTATGACTTTGTTTTATATCAGTGAAGTATGAGTACAGAAAGCAGGTATATTGTACTTTCTCAGCAATTTAAGAGTTTTTCAAGGATAATTTTTGCTAACCCCAGAAGTCAATGTGCAGGTTTGGGTTTGGCACAATCCATCATAAATTGCTCATTAAGTGACATATTGTGACTACAAATCTAATATAGAATTAGAGAATCTTTAAAACAAACATAAAATTATTATCTCTTGGGAATTACTTAGGAGGGATCCTAAAAGCAATGAAATGCATTAAAGACTATGATGGTCCAGTTTGGGATTATAGGAAGTGACTTTAGAATCTACTGTCTACCAATGTCAGACTAACAGGATGCCTCTAATGTCCCTAATGTTGACTGCCTGCATCATATCTTTGCTCTAATCATACAGAAGTTGAATGTCCCCCAAAAGCCCATATGTTAAAGGCTTGGTCCCCAGCTGGTGCTATTGGGAGGTGCTGGGGACCTTTAGGAGGAAGGGCCCTAAGGTCAGTGAAGATAAAGACACACACACACACACACAGAGAAATGGGGGGGGGGGGTTGTAGGATCCTTTCCATTCCTCTTTCTCATTTGCTTCCTTAGCCATGACTTGGGGTGTGTGCTCTGTCACCTGCTCCTCACCATTGCTAACCTGCATCCCCACCAGAAGCCTAAAGGCAATGGGTCTAGCTAATCATGGACGGGAACCTCTAAAACTGTGAGTCCAAATAACCCTTTTCTCTTTATAAGTTAGTTATCTCAAGTATTTTGTTATAATGGCAAAAAAAACAGGGTAACACCACCTTTTGAGGAACTCTGTATTCTTTCAATTCTAGCTGCCTTCCATGACTCTGAAAGGACAAATGATATTCAATGTGCACCTCTTTGTTCCCAATAGTCTGTGACTGGCCAGTTTATAAGCTATTACTCAATCACAAATACAGCACAATCCCTAGCCTCGAAGGGTTCAACACCTAGAAATGGACACATGAGAAACTGGGTATGGGGCTGAGGAATGATAGGTGTGCCTAGGAGCATGTTGGCACCAAAGAGGGAAAACTGAACTCTGATAAGGGGTGACCATAAGGGGTTGGCCTGGGAAATTCTTCTGAAGGCCATAACATTTGTAAGTCTGAAGGACAAATGAATTTGGAGCAGGAGGGTAAGAAAGAGAAGAGTACCCTAGGAAAAGAAGTCTGGAAACATCCCGTACAAATAAAGGAAACAGGAAAGTGGTGGTGGGAGGTGTGTGTGTGCGTGTGCATGCATGTGCTTATGAATTCTAAACACTGCTATTCTTGGGACAAAGGGGGCAAGGATCCTGGGTTAGGGAGAGAGGGAAAGAAGGTGGGGGACAGGAATGAATGACAGATATGCCCTTCTAAGGACTATGGGCTTTATTTTTCTAGGTCTATTTTTAATAGTATGACATATCATTAGATAAGGAAACTAAGCTTTTAGGCAAAGGGTCTCAGTGTTCAGATTTGTATTCTAGAAAGATGACTCAGGCAGTAGATTGAAGCATGGATGGAAGAAGAAAGACCTGGGAATCCATCAGGAGATACTGAAGCCATCGAGGGAGGAAGGGTCAAAAAGTCAAGTCAGGAGGATAACAAGGACAAGGCAGGTTTGGGAGGCTCTCATGAGGTGGAATGAACAGAAACTTCTGATCCACTGGATGTGGAAGGTGAAGAAGAGACAAGAGTCTGCAGATGCTGGGAGACTGAGAGAAATCTCAACACCCTTTCCTCCTCCAGAGCAAAGGAGTAACAGGAATGCAAGACAGGACAGTGCACTTGTCAGGGCACTCCCCAGCCTGACTCCCATCTAGGGGAGGCACACACTTCCTTGAATTACAAATGCAGTATTGAAATTTTACCAAGAGAAAACTTAAATTCAAAGCTAGGTAAAGACCCAAGCTAAATACAGGCCTATAATCTTCCCTTGTTCCTCCTTTCTCCTTCCCTACCCTACGTGTGGCTGAATTTGCTACTTAGGGCCTTTTGAACCATATTTTAGGTGGTAGCCAATTTACAAACTTTCCTCAGAGCCTCAGAACCCATTAAGGGATTAAGAGCAGTTATTTGTCAGCAGGATCAAAACTCAGCTGTGGATTTCAAAACAACAAAGGGATCTTATTCAGGAAGCGCCTTTTGTTCACTAAATGTCAGAGTTTAAGAGCTATCTGACTTCCCAGAATCCACAGAAATGTATAATTAAACTGCTCAGGGCACCTTTAAAGGAAGCTGTCCTGTGAAGTTGACAAGCCCACCAGCAAGGTTTGTAAAGTGCAGCCTGCGGGTTATAGAAAAAACACTTTAGTCAATTGGATATTAAAAAAAAAAAAGAATGCAGGTATGCAGGTACATACTCATAATTATCTATCCAGAGTAGGTGTTCAGTGAAATGGACATGACAAGAATTATATTTAAATTCACCAAATTAAAAAAAAAATCCCCTTAGAGTTGGAAGAAGGCAACCAAGCCTCCTGCCCCAGCCCAGAGGGTTGGCACATAAGCCCTTCATTCCCACCCACTTTGCCAACCATCAGATTCAAGTACAGAGGTGTGTCTCCATCCCTGCAGTTCCTCCCTACGCCCTCAGCATTCAGAAATGTGGCAGCTGGATGCATTTAGAATTTAATGAGCAGTTTACTCCAAACCAAGAAAAATAGAAAAATCATTTACATTCCACATCTATTTTCCAAAACACGTTGAATATTGATTCAATCACAGTATGTGCATTTGTTAAGACAGTCATAATTTCAAGCAATAAAATATTCCTTGCTCAATAAGCCGTCAACTCTCTTTCACATCATTAAAGAATGGCCCGTGCACACAATCTCCAGACTTGTGTCCCAGCCCAGGTTCCAACTGTCAAGCAGCTTCTGTGCCTACCCATTTGATGTGGCTCAGTCAGATGGCAGAAAAAAAAAAAAAAGAATTTCTTTTCAGTGCTATTTTGTTCACTAGGCAGTCAAGATCAAGGTCTTTCAGGACTATTAGGTTCTACAGAGAACATAAAGCAAACGTCAGAGTCAAAACTACCCTAGAAGATGACTCAGGAAGTGTCATGTTGAACACAATCCCTATCTCAGTCCAGAGCAGCACATTTTCCCCCTGTGAGGGGATAGATCATGAGTACCAGGTAGCCACTGGCTTGCAAGCAGACAAATGAAAACCATGTCACTTGACAGCCTAGAGTTGCATCAGAGGGAGATGCTCATACCACAAGAGGTAGGTTGGCTCTGAAGCTCCCACCTCCCATCTCAGCCTCCATAGGCACACGTAGGGTGAGCAGGAGCACTGCCACACCTCAGCTTCTTAGCCATCTTTTATGAGCACATAGAGCAAATGCATGCAGGATGCTACTCTGTCGCATTTCTTCCATCCAAGTGTTCTGTCCATCATCTTGACTCCCCATCTCCAGTGACTCTCATTCCAGATTTGCCAGAAGCTACTGTCTAAGTCGGGGTTCAATACTTCAGTGCTTCCTGTCTGTGGCCCATCAGAACCTACCAATCCTGTTCCCTCCATTAGAGTCGTGCTAAAATTCTGATTTGTTAACCTTCTGGACTTTCCAGGTCAGTATCAGTGGGTGACAATGGTTTGATTTCTAACACTTCCAATGATATTCAGACCTAGACTGGACCTCCTAGGGCCACATGTAAAAGCAAACACTGAACAGACACACACCCCCACTTTGACTCTACGTACCTAGATACTGAAGTTATCCTTAGATTTCAGGAAAGGGGGTCAGATTTTTATGAACTAATTTTTTTAACCTGGCTTAAAAACAAAGTTTTCCTTTTCTTTCTTTCCAGCCTTATTTACAGCATTCTCAATTTTCAGTGCTATTTTGTTCACTAAAGTTGAACATTTGATTCATGCTAAAATGAATAGCTTCTACCTGTCAAGGCATTACTCTAAAAGGAGAAAGAGAAAATATAGTTCATGGCTTTGCACATATTAGATTTTCTTTCTGAGTATTGTGTTTTGCTCAAAGGTTTAATTCCTTATTACATTTTATTAAGGTGAAAGACAATAGGACTTACAGACGCTTAAGAATTTAATATTCACTTAACATAAAACACTCACAAATTTTCCACAACATTATGTATGTTTTCTCTCCATACCTTTCTAATATATGGTGTCTATCATGAAAGGGAGCTTTTGTTTGCTTTCTACTAACAAATTAGGAATGAATTTCAGAAATGACATTTTTATTTGCTTTTGTTTTCAGAGTAGGGGTGATTTAAGGGAGTTATTAATAACATTTTCCTATCCTCTAAAATTGCCGTGTAGAATAGCTCCTCACCCGTCCTTTCACCACATTCAGCAAGGAAAGAGCAAAGGCAACATAAATTTAATCTCAATGCACAGGATGAGGAGAACAATATTGAACAGACGGTGATTCTGTTGTGTGCATTTTCTAAAGCACACCTTAAAAAGCTGCAATGGAGCAACACAGCAAGCAAGGGTGCTCTCTGTGGCCTGTCACTGTCATGCAGCTCTGTGTGTGTGGTCAGGAAATGTCATGATCCCAACTGAAGACCCCAATTCTGTGTTTCCATACCCCCCAACATCACACGCAGCACAGGGTATGATGACAGAGCAGGCTGGAGCGTGGTGCTATGGTTCTGAGAAGCCTTCCCCAAAGAACCACATGTTGACAGCTTGGTCACCAGCCCATGGTGTTATTGGAGCTGGTGGGACCCGTAGGAGCTAGGACCTAGTTGGAGGCATGCCCTCAAAGGGATATTGGAGGCAATGGCCCTTCCTCTTTCTCTTTTTCTTCCTAGCAACCATAGGTGAGCAGCCTCCTCCACCATGTGCTCCCACCATGAGGTACTGCCTCTTCACAGGCCCAAAAGCAACCGGCTGATCAGCCATAGACTAAAACCTCTACAACTGTGGACCAAATAAACCTATCCTCTTTTAAGCTTCTGTATCTGAGGTCTTTTGTTATAGTAACAAAAAACTGACTAACACAGAGGCTTTCCCTCCAGTTCTGGCATCCAACTGGTTATGTGACTGAAGGCATGTTGCTCTGCTCCCTGTGCCGCAGTCTGGCTGGGCACAATCAGGAGCCACTTGTCAAAAGAAACTAACTTTATTTTTAGAACCACACACGCCAAACAAAACAGCCTCTCAGGAAAAACCCTCAGAGCCTCAACTGCCACCACCGGCTTTCCACAAGCCTCTCTCTCCCACACAAGCTTCTCTCCACCTCCCACAATCCTCCTGCTCTTGAGGCCGATTGGCTGGGTCACGTGGGCGGAGCCAAAAAAGTCCCCCAATGAGCAGCTCCGTGGTCTGAAAGGGCAGGGAAACAGCCCAATGAGCATCACCGCAGAGGAGCCAATCAGCTAGATGTTGCTGGGGCCGAGGAGCCAATCAGCTAGATGTTGCTGGGGCCGCTGTGAGCCAATCATCAGCCGGCAGCTGGAAGTTTGCTGGCAGCTGGAAGTTTGCTGGGGCCCCTTCGGCTGTGGCTCTCAACACCCTGGGCCTCTGTCCCTGAACTGAACACCAAAGGACTGAACTGAAGAAAATCTGTTGGAAGTCCAGAAATCTTGTGTTTGTATAATACTCAGTGGTTCTGAGTACACCCAAACATCCAGCAACCTGATTTAGCAGGCCCATCATGGGACAGAAAATACTGAGCCCATTCAGCATTCCATCAATCAGCTCTGGGATGAGCCAAAACAACCAGCAAAAGTCATAAATGTCAGCATACTGGATTGCTAAGGTATAACTAATTCAGCGTCTCAGGGCAGCCTCATTATCTGCCTGTGGTCACCCTGAAAAAAACAAGAGGAAGCTGGCGGGGGGGGGGGGGCATGAGCACAGGGCACTCTCTCATGGTGCCTTCTCATCTGCCAAGGTCCTTCCTAGCTACCTTGGCCACACCTGAGGTGCTATGACTGCAACATCTGCTGTCAGAGGGCCGAAGTCCAGAACAAATCAGGGTGGGCCTGGTGAAAATGAGGTGAGAGGCACGTCCCATTGTCCTTGTTATTTTAGTCCCATGGAGAATTGGAGTTTGGGGAATTGACCCTTTTGCATCCAGATACACACATTCATTCCTGCCTACAAAGGAGAGAAAATGGAGGGCTCTAGTGGATACAGTGCTGTCCCTTCAAATTCCCTCTTGACAGCAGATGCTGCTAGGAGTATCTCCTTCTCCCTGCTCTCAGCTCCCAGATGCACCCCTCCTAGAAATTCTCCCCAACTATAGTTAACTGCCTCCCCCAAGGCCATGCTCCCTCCCAGGGGCAGGGTGCAGCCAATGACTGGCCATCATAGAGATAACAGTTCAGGACAACTCTTTGAAGGCCCAGCTCTCTAATTCCTCAGAGAATCTGCTGAGGCCTTGGTTACAACCACATCTCAGTTCAATATCTATCTTGCCACATCTGCCTTCCACGATTTCTTCCAAACCTATCCCTCTTCCAGAATTCTCCAATAAGCCTTCTATATGCAACTCTCAGAGTCAGTTTGCAGGAAATCCAATCTATGATGAGGACTAATGAACGCAGATGAGCCAGTCCAAACATGGTAAGCCAAGAACCTCTTGGGTTTATAAGTTTTAAAAATGAGTTGCAATTAATTGGACAATATTCTAAGAATTGTTTGTAGTCTAGGGAACAAAATAATCTTTTCCAATTGGATTCCTGTATTTGCTCTCTAGCAGATGAAAAGATGATTAAACTTTTGAGGAGAGAAACAAGAATAAAAATTTTCTCAGTATGCAGCCTACCTGTGAGAACTGGAGAGAATTCCACATCAGGTAAGGTATCTGTGTCACACAGGAGAGACCTGCTCCTCCAACATGTACCTTAAAACACTACTGAAGTATCTGCTTGCCCCTGGCATTCTGTATGAATCAATGGTTACCCAACAGGAGCTTCTTACCTCCAGGACCAGCCACAGCTGTCCTCCCACACAGTGATCTGCCTTGTAATACATCCCATAAAACTTTACAACATTGGGGTGATTCGGAAGAAACCGCAGAATGTTGTATTCTGCCTCAATTTCTTCATCCATATCCTAAACGAAGTAAGAAAAACACACACACTGGATAAATACCAAAGTGCAGAGAAAGGCCCACATACGGCATCATGCTGAATCGATTAATAAAACACGTATACTTTTAATGTCATCATTACCTTATCTTCAAAAAACCTAACAACAGAGATTCAGATCCTGATTTAAATCTTGCAGTTATTAATTCATTAATATTTCTTTATGACATTCTCTTTTTCTTAACGATACTATTATAAATATCCTTTTTATTGAAAAAAGTCTGAATTTTTAAAGCAGTTAAGCAGAAGTATCTTGAAGGGACCTAACACAGGATATGTCACACACAAGTTCAATGTGCAAAAAGGCATGGAGCATTCTAACTCCAGTGCTCTGAAATAAGATGTCAACCTAGGATGATCAAATATCACAAGTCCAGGTCACTTTGTGACCTACAGGGAAACTAGGAGTGAAATACATCACTCTTTCCAAGAGAGTAATTTTTGAAGAGCCCAGAGGGCCAAAACCAAACCAATGGTCAAATAGAAAGAAACAAAAGCCAAGTAAAGTTTTAACTCCAAGAAGAGTCCCTTCCTTCAGAAGAGCTGACAAACCATGACCTATTTTGAGATTTCTGTCAGCTTTCATGAAAACTATCCCTAAAATCAGTTGAAAATGTGCCCTGAAACACGAGAAATTCTCCCCACTAGAAAAAAACACTAGAAATTCTCCCCAACTATAGTTAACTGCCTCCCCCAAAGCCATGCTCCCTCCCAGGGGCAGGGTGCAGCCAATGACTGGCCAACACAGAGATAACAGTTCAGGACAATTCTTCGAAGGCCCAGCTTCTCAGTATGCAGTATGTGGTTATAGCTTAGTACAGTGACTTACACTGATGGGGTCCAGAATTTTCACTGCAGCCAGGCTCCCATCTCTCTTATTAGTGACCTTGTAGACCTTGCCATATGTGCCTTTACCAATGGTCTCTATAATTTCCCAGGTGTCTGTGGGATCCGGAAGCGATTCAAGACCAAGCATCATGGAGTTGTAATGAAATAATCCATATAGATGTTTCCTGGTGGAGAGAAAGTTTGTTATGTCCGACAATTGATTACAGGATCAGAGCCAGTGGGCTTTGAAAACACAAATATTTGTTTCTTAACCAGTGATTTTTGTTACTTTTTCTTTTCTATTTCCCTTTCCTATATTAAGTAGACTGAAAGCCCAATAATAAGCATTCTTAAGAATGCTCTGACACACCCTAAAAATACAGCTCTCAAAGTGGAGATGATCCACATGCTACAGAAGAGAGTAAAAGTTCCAACGAGGAGGTGCTGATCATGACTGGGCAGTCGTCTGGCTAGGCAGAGAGTGATGGCTGCTGCCCGGGAAAGTAGGTTAAAAACTGCAAGTCTAAAAACCTTTGTCCCAAAGATACAGTAAACTTGACCAGGGTTCCCTGGTGGCCACTGGAAACCAATGCCTAACCTCTGTGTGCAAAGTCAAAGAAAATTATTGGATGTACCAGACACATCCACACATAACACCCATTGCTGGTAGGTCTTTGGGCCTATGAAACATGAGCCAATCTCAGATCCCATTCATATAGCAAGAGCCTCATGTATGAATCACAGGGAGGGGTTCACAGGTTATGTCAATTCACTCTGCCTTAGTTGACGTGCCCTGTTTACCAAGGACATAGCTCCATAGAGTTAAGTACCAACAGCAAGCTCAACAGGCAAAGTCACCCAAGACATAGCCTGTGGAAAAAACCCTTCAAGTTTTCTTGTTCTAAGGCTGGGTGAGGGTCTTAAGTCTGGTCTGCCTTTAGATCCCATGGGCAGGATTCCCAGGCTCCAATAGCAAGAGCCATGGCAACCAACCCCCACTCTTTGGCTTGGTGCCTCCTACTAAGATCCCAGTTTGCATTTCTAATGATTTTCTTTTTTTTTTTTTTGCTTTCAAACTCTTTTTAAATTTATTTTTCATTTATATATGACAGCCAAATGCATTACAATTCTTATTACATATATAGAGCTCAATTTTTCATATCTCTGATTGTATACATAGTATATTCACACCAATTCATGTCTTCACATATGTACTTTGGATAATAATGATCATCACATTCTACTATCATTAATTACCCCATGCCCCCTCCCTTTCCCTCCCACCCCTCTGCCCTATCTAGAGTTTGTCTATTCCTCCCATGCTCCCTCTCCGTATTCCACTATGAATCAGCTTCCTTATATCAAAGAAAACACTCAGCATTTGGTTTTTTTGGGATTGGCTAACTTCACTTAGCATTATCTTTTCTAACTCCATCCATTTACCTGCAAATGCCATGATTTTATTCCTTTTATTGCTGAGTAATATTCCATTGTGTACATATGCCACATTTTTTAAAATCTATTCATCTATAGAAGGGCATCAAGGTTGGTTCCATAGTTTAACTATTGTGAATTGTGCTGCTATAAACATTGATGTGGCTGCATCACTGCAGTATGCTTTTTTAAAGTCCTTTGAGTATAGACTGAGGAGAGGGATAGCTGGGTTAAATGGTGGTTCCATTCACAATTTTCCAAGAAATCTCCATAGTGCTTTCCATATTGGCTGCACCAATTTGCAGTCCCACCAGCAATGAAAGAGTGTGCTTTTTTCCTCCACATCTTCGCCAACACTTATTGTTGTTTGTATAGATAATAGCTGCCATTCTGACTGGAGTGAGATTAAATCTTAGAGTGGTTTTGATTTGCATTTTCCTAATTGCTAGTGATGATGAACATTTTTTCATGTGTTTGTTGATTGATTTTACATCATCTTCTGAAGTGTCTCTTCAGGTCCTTGGCCCATTTATTGATTGGGTTATTTGATTTTTTGGTGTTTAGCTTTTTGAGTTCTTTATATAGCCTAGTGATTGGTGCTCTATCTGATGTGTGAGGGGTAAAGATTTGCTCCCAAGATGTAGGCTCTCTATTCATCTCACAGATTGTTTCTTTTGCTGAGAAGAAACTTTTTAGTTTGATTCCATCCCATTTATTGATTCTTGGTTTTAATTCTTGCGCCACAGGAGTCTTATTAAGGAAGTTGGGGCTTAATCCTACATGATGAAGATTAGGGCCTATTTTTTCTTCTATTAGATGCAGAGTCTCTGGTTGTATTCCTAAGTCCTTGATCCATTTTAGGTTCAGTTTTGTGCATGGTGAAAGACAGGGGCTTAACTTCATTTTGTTGCATATGGATTTCCAATTTTGATTTTCTAGACTGCATTCTCTCAAAACTGAGATCTTCCATCTGGTACCAGAGTTTTTGTTTGTTTGTTTGTTTGTTTTTCTTTTCCCCACCTTGTCTAATGGGGGCTTTTCAAAAATAATAAAAAACATCTTTTAAAAAGGCACACTAGGGGCTGGGGTTGTGGCCCAGAGGTAGAGCAATCACTTAGCTTGTGCAAGGCCCTGGGTTTGATTCTCAGCACCACATAAAAAACAAACAAATAAAATAAAGATATTGTGTCCATCTACAACTTAAAAAATAAAAATAAATTAAAAATAGGGAAAAAAAAGGGGCACACTCCTCTCCAAGGTGCCCACAAGCAATACCGCAAGGGCCCTGACTAAGCCTCCCTGGGCTGAGGCACTGACCCTGAAAGGTCCACTGTTCAAACAAGCCTTTCATGTGCTGGTTTCAAGACTCTCAGAAACTGCAACCTCTCCTCCCTTCCAGTGCTTCACAAAATCAATCTTTCTCACCAGATGTTCACAATTTTTGCAATATCTGTCCATCATCTGTGCTTGTAGTTACTAAACACTTTTAAATTACTTGCTTTTTCCCTTGAATGTCTCTAAAGGCACTTTATAGCATTACCCTAAATGTAAAACGAATATCATGTGCCACATATCCAAGTTAACTGCAAAAAGATGATTCCAATAAAAACAATAGATGTTTAATGCCACTGCCCCTGGGCTTCTGCTGAAGGCCGATCATTAAAAAGGGAGATCATTGAAGGATGGAGAGAAATTAAAGGTTGGCACAAACTTCCCTTGATGTCATCAGAAAAGCTGAAGGAGAATTAATTAGCAAGGAAATAACTCTGTTATTATGTGATTCAGTGTTCTTTACTAAAAGGTCTTCATACCCCTGATACCTGAAAACATTGCTCTAGGGTGGGTTTCTACAAAAGGAACAGGTGAGGGTGGCCTGGCAGGCTGGGGAGGGTGCCCAGATAAGATTCCAACAGCAGAGATGTCATTCCTTACACTAACCACTGAAGTGTCTGTTCCTCGTAAGCACAGACACCTGTGTCTGGGCTCAGTACTAGGACACAGGAATGCTCAAACCCAACAGCTGGCACAATCCTGACCCTGACTAGCTGTGAGACATGAACTAGTGACTCGTCTTTGCACTTCAGCTTCTTCACCTGCCTCATGGGGCAGTGGCCATTGTGGTGTATGAGGCTAACTACCTCACCGAGCTGCTGTTCCAGTTAGGAGATGAGAACAGAAGGCAGTGAGCATCTGGAAGGCTGAGTAAGTGTCCACTGTCACCACAATGGCAGAGTACCATGGTCTGCCTCAGAACCTGCAAGGCTTGGCAGACATTTCCCAAGTCAGTTTTATTTCATTTTCAACCACAAACTAAATGAGAACAAAATAAATTTTTGCTCCCATCCGTTATTAGTTTTCAAACAAATGCCTGGAATTTGGTGTGGGCAAATGACCTTGAATCAGAATGTGGCAACAAGAGAGAAGCACTAGGGCCATCAACACAGGTGATTTTCTAATGATTTTTGGCTACAAAACACTTGTGTGAAATTCGTCTCACTTATGATGCTGATGCAGAGGGGGAGAGATGGGGCACAGCTCTGACTGAGGTGGGCTGCCCTGTGCCCTTCATGGGAATTGACAGGGTGACCAACTGTCCTGAGGGACTGGGGCTGCCTCTGTTTTTCTTTTTCTTTTTTTTTTTTTTAATTATTATTATTATTTTTCTAGTTGTTGGTTGACCTTTATTTATTTACTTATATGTGGTGCCGAGAATCGAACCCAGTGCCTCACACATGCTAGGCAAGCGCTCTACCAACTGAGCCACAACCCCAGCCCTGCCTCTGTTTTTAGTATGTAAAGTCCCACAGCCTGGGAAACCTCTCAAAACAGAGCAAACAGTACAATTTGTCACCCCGGACTCTAGAGTCTTCTGAGAGCATTCACCTCCTGAGAGAATTAATAGAAAACCATTGATTAAGGCCCCCATCATCTCACCCCCCTGATGGCTGAACTGTACCCCTCCCAATTAATGAGTCCTAACCCCTAGTGCCTCCGAATGTGACTATATTTGGAGATAGAAACTTTAAAGGGGAACAATAGGACCGTTGATTCATATGAAGAGATTGGGGATCAGACAAGTAGAGAGGGAAGACCACGGGAAGACACAGGGAGAAGACACACCTCTACACGCCAAGGAGAGAGGCCTCCAAGGAAATGAACTCTGCTGACACCTTGATCTTGGACTTGTAGCCTCCAGAACCATGACACTTGGTTAAATAATTCTGATTTTTAAGCCAAATACCAGCCTCTGGTACTTGGTTTTGGCAGCCCTAGCAAACCAATGTTCCCCTGTTTTACAGATGAAGAAATTGAAGCTCATTTGGTGATGCGCTGTTCAGAGGTAGTGCAGGAATGGGATTCCAGGCTTCCCTAGGTCCAATCCTCTGACCTTTGTTCCACAGAATAGAAGGGACTCATCTGGTTAACAATGGTCATTCTTTCTGTCCCACTGTGCCAAATATTGAAAAATTCTGTGAGGGAAATATTCCAATCACCTTGGACTCTAAGAGCCTCACGGTCCTAATGAGCAGCAAATTCTGCTCCCTGAAAATAAGCACAACTCACCCAGAAGGATTCATTTATAGTGAACGCCAGTGCTAGGGAAGCAGAAAGCAGAGAACTTGAGTCCCATTCCCTGTCTGGTATTCACAGACAGGGCTAAATGAAGGTGCGACAGTACAGGTGCACTCTGACAGCAGTGCCTGTCTTCTCTTTTTAAAATCAATACCTGACTCTATAAACTCTCACGCTA